CTAAGGTGCTGACACAAAGAATCTTGTCTCCGGAGGTAAGCAGGAGGTTATAAGTGCTCACAGAGAGAAGTTGAAATGTCTAGTGATAAGGCACAAGCAGCCTTGCAGTTCAACAGACTGAGTGAATGGGAGTTTCCACTGGCTGCAGGGTCAAGGCCTTGTCCTCTCATTCTGGAGAGGAAGCTCTATGGGGTGGCAGGGCAGCATCCCATGCAGAATTCTTTACATCCCATAGTGCTGTCATGTTCCGGGCAGCTCTGAGTGAAGAAATCAGGTAACTGAGTAAGCCCTGCGATGGCAGAAACAGACCGTAAAGAAAGACTGCTCGCAGGACACTGAGCTGCGTTACCCTCGCGAACTGCTCTGAGGGGCGTGAGGCTGTAGAGTTTAAAATTCCCCACGCCGTACCGCCAGCTGGGTCTGCCTTTGCAGGCTTTGCTTTCTGCTGCTCAAATCTACCCTCGCACCCTCATTTTATAGGAGCTAATCATTTGTCTTTCATGGTTTGTTGTTTCTCTTGCTTCCTAATTATTTCCCAAAGAAAGTGGTAATTTTTAAAAACTTTCTTTTAGGTGGCAAATTGACAGGCATTTTATTATTTTTTTAAAAAATATATCTTTATTGATTTCAGAGAGAGGAAAGGCGAGGGGGAGAGAGAGATAGAAACATCAATGATGAGAGAGTCACTGATTGGCTGCCTCCTGCACACCCCCGACTGGGGATGGAGCCCACAACCTGGGCATGTGCCCCGACTGGGAATTGAACCCCGATCGCCTGGATCCTAGGTCGATGCTCAACCGCTGAGCCACACCCCGCTGGGCGACAGGCATTTTAAAAGGCAGAACTTTTGTGTCCTATTTGTTACCTATTTTATTTTATTCTAAAATCAACAAAGAAGAAAAATGTGGGAAACTGAAGACTGGAGGAGAAGGCTGGCCACCAGAGTATTTTATTTAAAAAAAAAAAAGAGGCAGATTCTGCCCTTTGACTATGGTTTGGTTACAGCGAAGGGCCCTACTCAAGGACCAAGCCACGTAGAGGTTTCTCTCTACGGTGTACTGGAGCAAGTCACAATCCTCTGAAAATGGGCGACGTGGAGAGAGTGGCAGAGCCCAGTGTCATCTGACCTAGCTCAAGAACCCCAGGTCTTCTATCATTAAATGTCTTCCTCGAGAAAATGCTAATAAAACAATGCAATGGCTGGCCCCACACTTGATTTTCATTGCGTTTTACACCTTTCCCTCTTGCCAGCTCTTCAGGTTGACTTTCTCGGCGGCTCCATTCCTTCACTGGTGCCAGGCAGGCTCACTGTGGAACCACTTGGGTTTTCTTCCTTCTTTTTGTGCCCAGGAAATTTTCATAAAGCATTTAACGTGAGAACAAGCAGGTTAATTTCCCGTGCTGGTGAGCCAGGCTCTCGGAAGGCTCTGCAACACTGCCATGTTCTGGCGCCAGAGTTGGAGGCCTGGGTCCCAGTGGCGAGGATGCTTGCCAGGCCCTTCTCTGTGCAGACACCAGGTGTGATTTAGCAGAACAGATTGTGTGGACGCTGAGCAGCTTCGATACTCCATGCGTCAGAACCAAACTGTATCCTTCGTGCAAGATGAAGAGGAAAGTCTCCTGGGCTAGAGGTTCTGCCAGGAAAGGCCTCTGGACATATAGGAAATGGGAAAATTGCTCCACCTGGTGACACACACCTGGTTTTAGGAACATTAAAGTTCTTAATGATATCAGAACCCCATTAAAATGCCCCATCATACCACAATGCTGTTTTCCTCTAATGATAGGTAGGCAATGAGAACAACAACAAAATATATATATGCAAAAAATGGAATTACAGTTGACCCTTGAACAACATGGGGTCAGGAGTGTTGACCTCCATGCAGTTGAAATCCAAGTACAACTTTTGACTCCTCAAAAATTTAACCACAATACCCTGGCTGATGTGGCTCAGTTGTTTGGAGCGTTGTTCCTTACACCAAAAATTTAACTACTAATAGCCTACTGTTGACTGGGAGCCTTATCGGCAACATGAACAGTTGATTAACACATATTTTGTATATATATTCTTATAATAAAGTAAGTTAGAGAAGAAAATGTTATTAAGAAAATCATAAGAGAAAATACATTCACAGTATTTATTGAAAAAAATCCACATATAAGTGGACATGCACAATTCCAACCTGTGTTGTTGAAGGGTCAACTGTATAAGGAAATTTTAAAAATCACTGAATCCAGTCTTTGATATATACCTAATCAGTGCCTAAACCATGACCCTGAGGTTCCAGGTGTCAGCCCCTGGGATACTGTATAGGGAAGACTTTTAGGGAAGCAGCCAAGCTTTGAGGATAGCACAATGCAGACCCCAGAGATGAGAACAGCAAGCTCCCCATGTTGACAAACTTAGTGAGCCTTGAGAAAAGGACAGGTCACCCCACAGGGAGAGTGGCTGAAGTCACATGGAAGATGATTTTAGGACAAGCTTAGCAAACACAACTGCTAGAATTACCAGCCTTTCTGTTCAGATCTCTGCCACGGGCAATTTAATGCTTAGTGATGTACAATTAAGTAATGGAGAAGACCAATGGTGTCCCAGTGGTGTAATATGGCTTTGGAAGGAAGTATATGTGCTCACACATTCAAAATCACTTGATAACGATGACATACATATGTATACACTATTCTTTTTTTAACTTTTAAAAGAGCTTGCTCTCATTTGCCCTCACAGCAGTTCTGAGGTGTAGACAAGGCAGGTTTTATTATCCATCTTTGCCTGAAGAACATGTAGGCTATAAGACTTAACTTATCCAGAGGTCAAATAGCTAGTCAGCAGTTGAGGTGAGACAGAACTCATGTGTCAGGCTCCCAATCTTGTGTTCTGTCTGTGGAAATCCTCCTTGCATCTTATAGGGTCTGTGAGTTACCCAGTAGCCTATAATAAACTATTTTCTTATCTGCTTAAACTTGGTAGATTCTATGGTTGGCTGCCAGGAGCAGTAACCAACACAGGGATCGTATTATACATATATTATGTCACCTACCTTTTTCACCCAACAACAGGTAGGGTACATCTCTATGTAAGGGATAATCTATATAGTCATTTACACTGACTGCAGAGTATTCTATTGTTTGGATATGCCATGATTTATCTAATCAATCTCCTAATGAATAAGATTTAAAATTTTCCAAACTTTTGGTTATTAATTCATTCATTTTATTCAACAGATGTTTACTGAATACTCTTTATGTGCCAGGTACATCTCCCTGCCTACATGGAACTTACATTCCAGTCAACAAAACACCTAATAAATAAGCAAACCAATAAATAATTGCAGACTGTGAAAAGATTAGTAAGACAACAGAATTTAGTAATGGCACAGAGTGATGGGGTTGGGGGAGCTGTTTGAGATAGGGAAGCAAAACAGCTTCTTTGAAGATGTGACATTTGCCCTGATACCAAAAGATTATACACAAAGCTGAAACAAATATCCCAGAGCATTCATCGTAGAGCATTTGTCTGAACATTTCCTTAGGACAAATCCTAGAAGTGCAAATGATAGGTTAAGAGACTTGCTCATTCAGGTTCCAAAGGGTTGGCCATGAAGTTCCATTTCTCTCTGCCTCCCTCTAAACCAGCTCTGGATTTCACAAGTCCAGGTTCCTTTCCCAAATGTGCCCAATGACTGCTCTGTAAGAGAATGGACAATCTCTTAACCTCATTATGCCTCAGTTTCCTCATCTGAAAAATGGGGACAATAAAAATGCCTGACTCAGGGATTGGTGAAAATTGACAATGGTGTAACGTAAGTGGTTAACAGATGTTAGATTACAAAAATGCATGTTCATTTAACATGTATACTAAAACTGCTTTCTTCAAAAGGGCTGTGCACACTTAAACTCCCATTTCCTGATGCCATCTCACTTGGGGTTGGTTATGAGGTCGTACTAGCTTGATCTGTTTTCAGTAACACATGTCCTCATACCAGGACTGTAACCACATGAGGACAGGGAGTGTATCTTATAGTTCTTGTGTCCCAGTACTTAACTGAAACAAAAACACAGGTGGCTGGTCCCCTTACACTAAGGAGAGTCCTCAAAGGGGCCAATCTACTCACAGATAATGGGAGCTAGCCTGTCCACCGAATCTTAGACCTTTTATTTTGTCTGAGATCAGATCTTAAATATCCAAAGTCTGTTCTCCTATGTGCACTGTGACCTTCAGGTTGCTGAGTTCTTCAGGGAGGCTAGTGTACTCACCATTGTGTGTTAAAAAAACAACACACACACATAGCAACCTGCTGAATGTTTTTGTTCTAAGTTAGAAACCTCAAACCCAGAATCCTGAGTCAGTGCCTCAGCAGGAATAGAAGGCCACAGGTTGCAGATGGCAAATGACTCACTGCGATCTGAAAGGGTCTGTGCTGTTGGTACAAAATGTGACCATGTTCCATTTGGTTCCTTTGTCCATCTGCTGCTGCTATGCTCTAGAAGTGAGGAGGATTTTAAGATTTAAATTTGGACTAGGTTTAAGCTGATTTCTTAAGCCATATTTAATACATCACCAACAAACACTACTTTGGTGGTGTTTGACTAAGAAGGCCATAAAGAACAAGATTTTCTTATTTTTTTTCAGAACCTTTTTGAATGGAGGTGATTATGATTACGGTTGAATTATATACAGTGAGTTAATTTTTTAACTTTTTTTTAAGAAAGGAAAGCAAGGGATAGGGAGATGAATGGAAAGGAGGACAGTAGGAAAAAGAGTTCCAGATGTCTGCTGGCTTCTCTGATCACCTTATGCATGTTAGTCTTGTGGCTGCATTACGCTAATCTCCGCCTCTGTCTCCATGTGGTCTTCCCCTCTGAGTGTCTCTTATAAGGACACTTGTCATTGGACTTAGGGCCCACCTAGATGATCCAGGATGATCTCATCTTGACATTCTAACTACACTTGTATAGACCCTTTTTCTAATTAAGGTTGCTTTTGCAGGTTCCAGGATTAGGATGTGGTCATATCTTTTGAGAAGCAGCCACTCAATCTACTACAGGAAGCATATTCCATGACCAGTGGGTTAAATGGTTCCTTAAAGATCTACTAGAAAATAGTATGTTAATAAAGGTGAGTTCTCCCTTTTCCATTCTTCCCTCTCTAATTACTACACGATAGACTGTAGAGCGGTTTAGAGCCATATTCTGTCTCCCCAGTCATTCTATGCATCACTGCCTATTCTTTCCTTTTTGCCTCTGACCTCCGCTGAAAGAGCACCTAAGGAAAAGAGAGAGGTGGTGGTGCTGAGTCACTATCTTTAAAAGTCTGTGTGTTTGGAGTAATTCTTTCTACCAAGAAATCTAGCTCTTCCATTTAAGCCTAGTAGTTACCTTTCATCATCCAGAGAATGCATTTTTAGATGGGTGGCTAAGGTTTGGAATAAAAAAATCATACAATTTTAGGGCTGAAGAAAGTCCAGAAATTGTTTAGTCATTTTAGAAATAAAGAGAAAGAAGTCCCAGAGACAGATCAACAAATTATTGAAGGCCACTGAACATAACAGGGGAAGAGCCGGGACTAGAACTCAAGGCTCCTGGCATCTATTTAAGCACTTTTTCACACTATCACACATGATACAGAATGTGATGCAGAGTTTGCTCCTACGTGAATTATTCAAGATATTGGCCTCTTTGGTGTCACCCGATGAAATAACCAACCTTCTATGGACTGAATGTTTGCATCTCCCCCAAATTCATATGTTGAAGCCCTAACCCTCAATGTGATGGTATTTGGGGGTTAGCCCTTTGGGAGTAATTAGGTCATAAGGTGGAGTCCTTGATTGGGATTAGTGACCTTATAAGAATAGATACAAGAGAGATGATCTTTCTGCCATAAGAAAGCATAGCAAGAAGGTGGCCAACTATGATCCAAGAAGTGAGTTCTCACCAGGAAGAACACTGTCCTGTACCTTGATTGTGGACTTCTCAGTCTCCATAACTGTGAGAAATAAATGTTTGCTGTTTAAGCCACCCAATCTATGGTATTTGTTATAGCAGCCATAACTGACAAAGACACAACCCAATGAAAATATTCAATGATATTTAACATGCTATGGGCAGATAAGGTCTCTCATCTAACTGAGCTTACACATTTAGTATCTGAAAGATGACAGACTCTATTTAGTCAGGGACACAGACCTCTTTTCCCTTAGACTGTCAAATAAAAAAAATGACAACAGTCAACACAACAATAGTCGTTTAGTGTATATGAACCAAAATTATACCTTTTTTTTTTGTCAGATTGGCAAAAAAGATATTTTTTGGTGTGCTATAGAATTTTAGTAATTAGTTTATGTGTGCCATGAGATGAGAAAGGTTGAAAATTGCTGCCTTAGAGGAAAGGTAAAACAGCTGGTGTTACCGTCCCCACTTAGAAGTGTTCCTTATCTTGTCAGATGTCATTATTTGAGTCAAAAGCACCTCTTGGCCTAGAAAATAAGCCTCCTCACCCCTCTCTAGTGCTTAACGAGAGAACCAGCAACCCAAGGTCAGCCATAACAAAAAAGCTTTTTTTTTTTTAATTATTAAAACTCATCATTGTCCACAGAATAAAGTATATCTCTTGGGAATAGTGAAGCCATCAACTAGCTACTCATGAACAAGAGAGGCATTTTCTAGTTGATACAGTGAGCTAAAAAGACCCAGATGGTGGATCCTTTTGGCATAGACCTATCTTCTCTGGCTGTCTGTTTCTTCACTGCATTAATTCTTCCTATATCAGAACCATCACACAGTTTGCTTAGTTCCAAGAAAGATAAAAACAGAAAGGCCTTTGTCCTGTAGGAGTCTTACCTTCCCTTCCTCCTTCAACACTGGGGCAGCCTAGTCAATGCAGGATGCAAATGACCTGAGTCTTTTGATGAAATGACCTGGATCTTTTGTTAAGAAAAATCTCAAAGCTCTTGCCCATGCAAGAGTCAACACAATCCCTTCCTTATGAAACAGGAAAGGGGACTACACTTTTGGGGAGTATTTCACCTGGACTGGACTGATGCCTGATGCAGATTCTGAATTTATTTTAAAATGGGTTTTGGCTTGTTGGATGGAGCATGTTGCATTGCTGCTGGCTGGAGTGTGAGTCCCGTGGGCTTGCAGCCCTGTCTTCTTTCATGAGAAATCCCTGCCAATCCAGGATCTGTGAACTGATTCTGCCAGCCAATCTCTAATTTAGCATATGTACAAAGCCAATTTTTGGACACCATGATGGAGCCTGGCACTTCTGCAGCCCTCCATGTTTGCAATGCTCACAGTGAAATAACAAGGAACTAGCAAGATAGAGAAAAAAAAAATGACATGAAAAGGCTTTCTAATTCAGATAAATCGTCTCTGTATTATATATGTGTTTGTGTCTTCCTCCTGCTTTTTCAACATAAACTTCCCCCATGCCTTCCCTTGTAGCTATTTCATTTAGATTTTCAATCTGGGATGCACTTAGCAATAGCCAACATTGACAAAGATAAAACCCTGCTCCCCACTGAGAACATCTGATTTTTAAAATGTAGAAATGCTGCTCTTCACAAAATAGGACATTTCCCTTTTAATTAGCTTCAAAATACACCCAAATAATTTGCCACTAGGAAATGACACCATTTTAGAGTGCTTAAAAATAATTCCTATCCATGCAAAAACCAATTTGATGAGAGGCGCAAGCTAGTGAAACCTTCAGTTTTGAGATAAACTGAGCTGCTTCTATGGGGACAGCTGTCACTACTATGGGAAAATTCACCTAATCCTCAGGCTTTTATCACTGTCTTCTCTCAGAAACCCTGTGCCTAAGGTGTTTGCTGAAATAGTTAGGAACAGTTGCTAATTGAGGCTCAAGTACACCCATCCATCTTTGCTGAAACTATGGGTCTTCCTGCCTCCCACCGTTCTATAGATTTTCTTGCCAGTCATTTAGTTTTCTAACAGTTCAAAACAGAATAGGTAGCAGCAAAAGTTGTATGGTGACATGTCATGCTACCTTTGAAAATAAAAACATATATTGTGCCCGCCCACCCTGCAATGTGCTAGCGCTGAGTCCTGAGACAAGCATGCATCAGGATGGGCATTTTGACTTTTCCCTGTGCATGAATGAAATCAAATCTCTGAATAAAAGGGAGGGGGAAACTATGTGATTTTCTGATGTGGATTTCTTCCAATGTATAGATGTGACAATGACCAACTTTTTGGTTCTTCTGGTAAGTGAGATCCCCGCCAGGTGAGACATTGCTGATAGGTTTGCTCTCATGGGATGAACAACCCCCTCAAACCATATCTGGTCCTTACCTGCTGTGGCTTCTGTTGGTAGAAAAAGAGTCTGAGCTCTGCCTGTATAAAGATAAATATTTCAGGAGCTTGGCTGATGGCAAGCTTTGCACGACCATGCAGAAGCCAAGCTTGATTGCCCTGGCCTGGTGTGGGGCTCCCCAGGTGGCAGGGGCTGAGAGCGGACAGTGTGGGGGGTGGAAGTGAGTGCCTCCAGTCATTCTGAGTCGCCCCTGGGCTGATTTATGACGAGGGTTGACAGGCTCCTAAGGGGAGGTTCTGTCCGTTTTCTTTCTGTAGCACGGATAATGGACCATGCATGGGGTCCTAAGACAGAGACTGAGGACTTTTTGTGTGTGACTATGACTACATTTCTCATCAGTAAGGCCACATTCATGGTCTCTTTGGAGGCCACTGACTCACTGGAGGATTACCATTAAGGGATGTCTGCTTAGTGGCACCAGGTTCTTTCCCACCCCTCAGGGGCTAGCATGGCGCCTCCATGCTGCTTCACTCAAGCCAGACAGAAGGGCAAGGCACCAGGTCTGGGAATTAGAGAGGGAGATTGATATGTGCATATACAATGCAGTCACGGACAACTGCAAAGGCTCACATGTAACCCCACTGGGAACTGGTTAAAATGAAGTCTGTGATAAATGACTCATGGAACCCAGACCCTGACTAGTCTTCCCAGGAATGGCCAGAGGTGAGGTTCAGAACATTTGTGACTTATGGAGTTCAAGTGACTAGAATGTATGTGAAGGATTCTAGGACTGGCCCTGCGAATAAAAATAACTACTTAAACAGGGATGAATTTTTTACTCTGGAGTGATCCTGAAGACTTGAATTAGGAGATCACCATCTTTCAAGTTTCATGTCAAAGGAAAGATTACTTCATTGAAAATATAAAACTTATAACTTGAGTTCTACTGCCTTGGAACACTGAGACCACTGCTGCCTCTCGGTACATTGAGATTCCCTATTATTTAACATGTGTTCAAGTAAGAAGACCACCTAGAGGAATAATTAGATGCTGTAGAGTTATAAGAACCAAGGCAGATGGATTAGAATGCAGATGTTTTGAACTTTTGGCTTTTGATGAGGTAAAACTGACAAGGATTTTAAAAAATGTACTTCAAATGTTATATCAAAGTTTAGTAGATTTTAAGAAGATCAGAGTTGTATTATAATTTGGAGTTAATTTATACAGTTTGTTGTTACAGTAACACAGTTGATTTGTCTTGTGAAAATAAAAATTTTGTAGCCAGGGCTGCTGAGAGTTGAGTCAAAGAAAAAGGTAAACTCTGAATAGAGAAAAGTTGTACCAGTCAGAGCTCTCCAGAGAAACAGAACCAAAAGATGATGATAGATAGATAGATAGATAGATAGACAGATAGACAGATAGACAGACAGCTAGATAGATGATAGATAGATTTAAGGAATTCAAAATCTACAAGGCAAGCTGGTGGGCTGGACTTGATGTTGTAGTCCCCAGGCAGAATTTCTTCTCCAGGAAACAAGTTTTTGCTCTTAAGGCCTGCAACTGATTGGATGAAGCCCACCTACATTATCCAGGGTAATCTACTTTACATAAAGTCAACTTTATGTAGATATTAACCACATCTACTAAATATCTTCCCAGCAACATCCAGGTCAGTGTTTAATAAATGGGCACTAGATAGCTTTGCCAAGTTGGCCCATAAAGCAGGTCATCACAGTAGCTTTCTTCCAGACTGAAGAAATAAGAAATGTCTTGTGTCCATGAGATTCAGCCTTCTCCCTTTTGGAAGGGAGAAGCTACACCCCATCAAAAGAGACATTATACACTAGCGATCGGCAGCTCTCCAGTCTTCCTCACCAGATATTTCTTGGAAGAGGGTTGCAGATCCTGAGCCTGGTACAGATGATGTGCAGAAAAAGGACCGGCAAACAGGCCAAAATGGAAGGGAGGAAATCTACCTGTTTCATGGTATTCATTCTGGTTCCACCAATGTCTCTGAAGCAGCCAATATATGAACACTTGCTCTTCACCACCATCATTCTCAAATATTCACTAAATGTGCCCTCTGAGCATGATATTCCCTCACCATGTGGGCAAACCTCATGAATGTACCATCTTGGCCAGCAAGTCATGGGTGTTCTCATACCAGAGAAACATAAGCTTCGTCCCCTACTAATTATACTTTGAATCTTTCCTTTCATAATTTTTATAGTTATAAAATACTTTAGACAACAAAACATCATACATTTAAAGACTCTAAATCAATAGGAAACAAAATAAAAAACACACCTTGGGATAAAAATGTACCATTTTGGTTCTTATCTCTAAGGTCAGACAATAATAAGTTACATTTCACATTGTACTTTATCATTTATAAAGTGTTTTCAAACACACTTATTTTATCTTTCTCCTTGCAGCCACCTTGGGAGATCAGTGGCTTTCTCCCCATTCTACAGATGATGCTACGAAGGCTCGGAGAAGTGAACAGACTTTCCTGATACCACACAGCCATCTGATGCTGAGCAGGGACTGGAACTGCGATCTCCTCTCCCTACTACACCCTGAGTGCCCAGACCTCTCCAGGGCTTGTTGCTTGGTGACCAGCTCAACTCTCAACCCCTAGTCTACAGAGTTACATAAATGTGGCCAGGATCTGACTGTCCAATAAATTACAAAATTACTCTCTGCTTATGGAAAACCTTCACTAAAGGCAGTGTTCCTACATATGGCCGGATATCTTTTCCCCTCCATGTGTCCTTCCCGGTGCAGAGAGCTCTATTGGAAATCAGTGGGGGTCTGTGCACATAAAGAGCCGGGGATGAGAGGCAGGATGGGAATCTATTCCATGAAGTGAAGACGTAACGTCCTAACAATTAAGAAAAAACTCGAGGTCGTTTCCTCAGCTGATCATCACCGGCAGAGCCAACTTCGGATTAAACACTTCTGCTCAGTGGTTTTGACATTCTCAGTCAGGCATATCTTGATGAAATTAGAGATGCAGAAAATATCTTTTGATGGAGTACAGAGACAAACAGCTAGAAGGGAAGCCAATTTTGTGCTCAAACTTGTGCAGACTGAAATAAAGAAGGAAAGAGAAAGCAAGAGAATAAGCTGTGTGTGCTCATGTGAGTGTGTATAAATGAAGGAAGGTGAAAGCAGGTTATGGAAGAGGAAAGGGGAAGCTAGGGTGATGCTAATTAGTTAGACGTTAAGATCTTGGCAGCAAGAGGTGTGTTTATAAACAATCTTCACTAAAACATACCTTTCCAACTACTAACTGTTTCACTTGCCAGAAATAGTCTCTGTCTAGTTAGTCTGTACTTGCTTCAATCTAAAAGTGGGGAGGGAAATATTAGTAAGTGAACACAACCATTCTTATGCTGTAATATAGATTTCTGCGCAAGGATTGTTTCTAATGCTCAATTAATGAAGTGAGGCCAATTCAAATTTTTTTACAAAAAGATTAGGTGGGGAGGGCTATTAGTCAGAAGGTTTTCAAGCTAGTAGAAAAGGAAAATTAGACAAAGATATAAGAAATAGTAGAATACTAACCATTCAGAAATCTCTTAATAGTATGCGTATACTAAGCCACCAGCAAGCCAACTAGTTTTCCTCTTGGTATTCAAGTCTAGAAAAGTCTGAACTAGGAGCATTGAATAAAGACTTGCAGAGACTCTAAATCTTTTTAAAAAAGTATCCCCCATATATCCTTTCTGAGGAAGTTACTAGAGGATGTACTCCATTAAAATTAGGAAATAAAGCAAGAAATAAAAATACATGAGGCCCAGAAAAATGAAGATCCAACTCCAAAATCAGGCCAAAGGACTTCCCAAGATAACAGTGAGGGAAGCTACCAGATAACAATTTAATGGGCAGCCAGCACATATTGGAACACTGTGTATGGTGACTTTAAAAAAAAAAGGAAAAAACCTTATGGTTACTTGATGTATTTAAAGACACTTTACAGCCCTGTTGGAGAGTTTGGGACTCAATCAGTAAGCAATATATAAAAAATAATGCACATTCAACAGGTGAAAGGATAAACAGTGGTATGTATATACAATGGAATATCCAGCATTAAAAAGAAGAGCTATCAAGCCACAAATGGACATGAATATGTTTTGTTACAGTACATGATATTGTATAGTAGTGCCTTTTTATAGTACATATGTTTTTTTACAGTAAGTGATACTGTATAGTAGTGGGTACAACTTCTGTTTTCATTTATGCCATATTAAACATGTGTGGTAATGTACAGAAATAAATGAAACAATATGCTAAGGAACCTTTTTCAGAAGACTTAATAACACAAGGTGGACATCAGTAATAATGCACACATATAAACAACACACATTGCAATCCCCCCAGAAGAACAGCTGAATACCTTCCAATCCACTAATCAGAATCCATATGAAACCTCAATGTTTTTGCCAGTACACACATGCAAACTCATGTTGGATTTTGATCCAGATGGTAAAATGTGGGTTAAAAGTTTCTCTAAGTTGTTATGGTGACTATTCCAATGGTGAGATTTTAGATAGTGGGGACTTCTATACTAATATTGAGACTATGAAGTAAGGTGACAATGATCCTTGCAGAGGGGTTACATGATCGAAGGAGGAAATAAAACTGTATACAGACAAATACAACTAGGTATACTTTCTGTGTGCATATGGCAAGGTAAACAAAGAATACTGAAGGGGCACATCTGTTACAGTGATAAGTTTCAGTGATTTTTCCCATTTGTATTATTCTATTACCATTGCTATATTGTCGTTTTGGCAGCTAAGACAAGATTTTAAAAATATGGGCATGTGCAAAAACAATGAATGCAAATAGAAGTGTGAGCACAGGTAAATGCAACAGTCCCAACCCTGCCCCCACATGATCCTCTGCCTGGTTAGACCACTGGAAGTAGAGAAGGTGAGGCACTCAGGAAAGACCACCTGGGTTCAGATCCACTTTAGAGAAGTTGGGATTCTCTGCAACCAGTGGCAAATGTCAAAATGTATATATATAAAATACAAATACTTTGCTTTTATAGTAGATAGCTGAGGGTGTAGTACATTTTTATAATTTAAATTATACCAAAGAAACACAAGGGGAGCTTAGTATTTAAAAGTCCCTTGTAGAGAATTCTTTGAATGAGAAAAGTTCCATTAACTTTAGGAGTAGTAACCTCACACACATGCTGCCCAGATTTAACTGTTTTGATAAGTTGAATTTTCTCAAAGCAGGGTGTAACAGTAGCATCTCCACACTTGTTTTAGACAATTATGGTACATCAGCTTGCTGGAATATTAAGCAGTCATTAACATTTATAATTTTGAAGATTGTGGCAATGTGGAAAAACACTTGTGGTGTCAAGTGAAAACAGCTAAATATAAAATTATATTTAAACTACAAGTAAAAATGCATGGGAAAAGGCTAAAATAGAACACAGGATAAGGAAGTTATTTTTACACACATCACATTTCAATTTCAAGCGGATTAAGTGGAATTTTCAAAAAGCAAATCCTACTTTATAGCTACAGAAACTGAGGAGGGTAAGGCACTTCACTTTTTAACTACAGCGATGTGAGCTGCTCTAACACCTACAATCACAGAGACTTAACACAACAGCAGCTCCTTTCTTGTCTGTGCTGGATCTACTCTGCGGTGGGTGGAATGGCAGGAGCTGTGCCTTTTGCTCCATGCGGTCTTCAGGGACCCAGGCTGCCAGTAGCAATATCATCTTTAACCCACAACTTCAAGGTCTCTCTCTGGCTATTAACAATCAACAAGGAGAAAGAACGTGGGGAACAGTGGAAAGTTTTTATAGGTGAGGTCTGGAAGTAGTATATGTATAAGTAGTATACATTCTGTGGGTCAAAACCTAATCACAAGGCAATACATAACTGCAAAGGAGGCTGGGAAAGATTGGCCGTGTAACAGGAAGAAGTGGAAGTGGGTTTTGCTGAAGAGCTGGCTGATCTCTGCCACACAAATTCTCACATCGAATCAGAGGTAGGGCAAGAACTGGATTCCAGGTCCTCTCTTAGATTAGTGCTTATTTATATTTTCGTCTCTCATTCTCACATGCATACGCATGTGCGCATACACATACATGAAAGATAAAGACTTACATGCTGAAATCTAAAAGAAAACAGCTATTCTACATCTAAGGACTCCCAATACACAATCTGATCCCTTTTAGAAAACACATTATATTCTCAATGAAAATCATCCCAGAGATAAATGCAAGGCTCTGGAACAAGAGAATTTGGACAAGAGTTGACTTGGCTGAGAAAGAATGATCCAGTATCGACATAATTATGTAGCCCTATATTTCTGGTGTCACGCACATCTTTGCTTAGGCATTATCTGTTATTGATGGGTAAGAGGAAAATCCAATCCTACCTGTAGCACACATTAAGACCCCCTACCACCTTCCATGAAAACCCAGCCAGAAGGCACTAGAAAAGACCTGGCATACTTATAGTCTTTGAGGCCTGTTTTACTAGGCCTTTGCCCAACTTTTCAGGTCCATTCCACTGTGGTCGTGACCAACAAAAGTAAGGACTCGGAGAGCCATTTTTAAGCAAAAACATCTTAAACAAACACATTAAGATATTACATTGGGGAAGACTCCAGCATCCTGGAAAACTGATATCCATCCCACGTTTGGCATTTTTTGATGTCAAATATTCCTATTTGGTGAACAAATCAGTTCAAATCAGAACTAATCACCGAATCTCACTGGTTGTTGGTGGAGCTAGGTGAGTGTTGTTTGTTTTTAAAATGCAGACCTTATTATTATTATTATTTACTATATCTTTGTTGATTTCAGAGAGAGGAAGGGAGAGGGAGAGAGAGAGAGAAACATCAATGATGACAGAGTCGTCCCCGACTGGGGATCAAGCCCGCAACCCGGGCATGTGCCCTGACCGGGAATCAAACCGCGATCTCCTGTATCCTAGGTCAATGCTCAACCGCTGAGCCAGGCCCAGCTGGGCTAGGGAAGTGTTGTTTATGACAAATATGTAAGTTATAGCCAGAGCTTAGATTTGACGATGAGAAAAATAGAATTGCTAGTTTAGAGTTCTCTTTCCCTTGCCAAGACTAACCAGTGCAATGCCTTGAACATTTAGGTGCTCGGTAAATACTGAGGTAACCTTTATGGACATAATTATGTCATATTGTTTGACTGTAATTCAGAAATGATTAAAGTATGGATAGTACCTACACCCCTCATTGTCTCTGGTAACCACCATGTTGTTGTCTGTGTCAATGAGTGTTTGTTTGTTTTGTTCAGAAAACTCTCTTTAAAAATATAAATTTAACCACCCTCAATGTAGGTAGAAAGAGCTATTTCTATTTGGTTAAAAAACAATAACTCGTTGGGTCGTTTGCTAGCGGAAATACAGCCCTCAAGGTGAGGTGGGTAGGGACTAGGAGTGAGACAAAGAAAACCAAGTTTCCCTGCAAAATAAAGTCAGGAATGGAGAGGCTCCAGAAGTTTGAGAAAGAAGGAGAGAGGGAGTGTTGTGAGGTGGTAGGGCAATTTTTCTACTTTAAGTAGTTTATTGTCTGTGGTGTCATTCCTAGAGGCTGGAGGACTTGGGGAACACAAAGTGACCGTCAGTTTACAGGTAGGATAAATTAAGCACTTCCAGTATGCCAGGTACTAGTTTATGTAGTTTAAATCCACATTCTGATTTATTCCTCACACCCATGCTGTCTCTATCCCCCTTCTACAGATGAGAACACAGAGGCTTGCCAAGGGCTAGACACACAGTAAGTCAGAGCCCAAACTGAGTTTAACTGATTCCAAATTGCATCCTACTTATCAGTCACTAGAGCATATTGTGTCATGAACACTGAGGACTGTAGTAACTATGGAGCAGAAATTATTTGTGGTTTACTAATTACTGGTGATAAAAGCATCCCAGAAATGCAAAGTACTAAGTAAATACTAGTATTACTGCTCTTGCACTTGACCACTGACATCTGAAGGAAGCGCTGTCATCTAAAATGAAAACGTGACAAGCTAGCAAGGGCTTATTAATGTCACATTAAAATGATATAGTTAA